CCCCCTCCCTCCTGTTCTTTTCCTTTTGTTGGTTTTGTTTTGGGAGAAGGGATGGACTGTTGTTGAATTAGGAGTCTGTTCTTGTATTCCTAATGATGTACACTGTTTCGCTTTATATTAGTTGTAAACAATTTTCAGTGAGACAAATTTCTGAATTTAGCGAACTGATCCAGCAGCTTATTTGAGAAGTACTTGTGTCGCAACTCACAACTGTTTCATCTTCCAATTTTGCCAAATGAATTGACTTTTTGCTGAATTGATTACAGTGACATCCTCGCTTCTTCACAAACCTCTTTGTGCAATATATGTTCGAAATTGCACCAAACTGTACAATAATTAATGTATGCTGAAACTCTTAAAGGCATATGGTAAAATCAGCACAGAAAATTGAGACAAGTACTTGGATGAATGTGAAAAACTCAGTTCTGCCCTGGTGGTGTTCAATCTCTGCAATGTCAAAGAAAATCAGCCCTCCACTCTATTGAATTTAGTTTCAGATACCTATAGTCAAATCTTATGACATTGGTGGACAAAAATGAGCTGGTTTAAATTTTTAATTAATTATGCCATGCTACAAGCCTGATATCTCGACTCTTCCTTTCTTTCTGAGCCAGCCACTTTCCATTTGTTTACACTATATGCTAGTACTTGTTGTGGGGGTAGCCAAATTTTGGGACCGGCGGGTAAGGATCATTGGTTTACTATCAAAAGAAAAAAAAAAAAAGGCCACAATATGCTCTTTCTTTCCTTGGAAATCCCGTCCCTCCAAGTATATATTTTGGGTAGGCTTACTGACTGCCAGTGTTTGCGAACAAAGATAAGCATACTCTAGAATGAAGGGGAGACACCAAGGACAAATCCCACAATTGTGTTTCTCCAATGTTCAATCTCAGGTTGAATGGAAGTCATGGACACAACTTTTTTTCCCATGACTCCCCAGCATGCATGGATCTCCAAAACATGGGGAAAAAGGGTGCCGAAGGCTAAGGTACTAGGCAATCAATGGTTATCTGATCACAACAATTTCATCTCTCTTCCTTCTTTTTTTTTTTTTTTTCCGAATTTCACCCTTACCTCTCGGAGGAGACTTGAACCCAGTTCAATGACCTGGTGAGGCTCTTAATACTTGAGTTAAGACGTTGGTCTCTAGTTTCATCTCTCGTTTGTTTCCTATAATTTAGTATTTAAGTTACAAACAATTTAAGGAGAAGAAGGATTTTGTGAAGCATAATTATCTTGTCTCCAATATCATCTCTCATTTGTTTTTTATTATAATTTAGTATTTGAGAAACAATTTAAGGACAAGAGGGAATCTTTAAAGCATAATTATCTTGTAAATCTAAAGTTCTTATGCCATTCCCAAGTTTTTTGTGATTGAATTGACTTTCATCTCTAAACACTCGAACAAATGCAAGTCTTCCAGCTGTAGTATACTTTGGGATATGACCATGAAAAGTTGATTAGACATATAATTCAATTAATATATACTATATACAGAGTTTTTGGTCATCAATTATGGTTAAAAAAAAAAAAAAAAAAAAAAAAAATCTTCCTTGGAGGAAGTCTGTTGTCATCAACATGCCTGTCAGAGACTTGCAGAATTCACTTTACTATTTCAATTCATGCTAGATTTTCATGGACTGGATATCCTATTCCGCTTGTTACTTATCACTTGGATATTTGCAGTCATCAAGATATTGACGTGAGTCATCCAGAGTTTTTCAGTGCAGCAAAGCTCAACGGTTATGTTCCACCAAATAAAGAGGTGATGCTATATAGTGTTTTCTTTAAATGCGTGTTGGCTCTATGTCCATTACCCTATCTGATGTTTATATGAACTTGAATCGTGCCTTTTGAGAGAAAATATCTTGAACAGCTAGACTGGAAACTGAGATATTTTTGTTAAAAAATAAGATGCTTTGCATTTAAAAGGTCAAAGGATTGTCTTGTTTAGTTCTAGTGGATTCACTATGATCTAAAGGATATTTTAATATTTATATCTTAATGTTTCATGTTTCTTATTCCTGTCTCCAACGAAGTCTAAATATGAACTATATGATCCACACACAGATAAATTATGTAAGAACTCACTGATGTTGGGTAGCAATTGTTATTTTGCTGAGCTTATAATATATCACCAATTGCTGTGAGTTTATATCATATAGTTATATTTAACCCTATAAACGAAGAAAGATTTGTAGAAAAATTCACTGGGAGTGCTAAAAAAATTATTTGTATGAAAGATCTTTATACGTATTTTATGTTCTCTAAAAATTGAGAGATGCTGATGTCGACTGCTTTGGATGCAGGATTGTGGGCAGCCTGGATTTACATTGTCTGAGAGGAAGCGCTTTGGAACCATACTAAAAGAGTATGTTTGAAACACCCATTTGATACGTCCTTTGTTTACCCATTTGATGCTAAAAGAGTATGCTTAAACTACATATATTTCTTAAAGTTAATTGGTAAAATATTGTACATATTGCAGAGTTTATGAATGTGCAGTTTATTGTATAATCACTCCTAAGCGAGTACACACTTGCCATATAATTATATAGCGGAACATGAGGTCATGCCGAGGCTCTTAGGCTGGTCTCTAATTTTTTGGATAAATCAGGGATGCAAAACGTGCTTTCCTTGTAATTTAAAAGTGGGAAGTCGGCTAGCTTGGCATACTATTTCTGATTCAAATGTTAATGTAATTATTCAAGGCTGTAGCATCCCAATGGGCATTCCCCCCTGTTTCTCATATTACTAGTGAATCATCGAACCAGAATCTAAAACAGACCTATACATATTATTAGCAAATCATCAAACAAGGATCTAATATAGACCTAAACAATCTGAATTGCCTCTGCAAGTTTTCTGATCTGACTCCATAGCAAAGCTTGCTCCCGCTTTTCCTTATTCCTTGAATATCTCCACATTGATGCTTTGATTCGCTTTTTGCTATCTATACATGTGGTAAAGTAGCAGCTGAATTCATTGTTGTTGGAATTCAATTGCATTTCTTACTCGTCAAATTTTGATTGCAATTAAAAGATTCAAATGATGCCATTTTTATAATCGGTTTTTGTAGCAGTTATCCTTCTCTTTAAAAGATCAAATGACTGTTGCTTGCTATGAGGTTGCACCATTAGTGTCTAATTTGGGCCTTTTCTGATAATCTGACTTTGATTGCTTTTGCTACTGTCTGCCAAGGGGAAAGCTGGTGGATGCGTATAGGTACCTGCACAAGGACAAAGATATGCAGTGCGGCTTCTCATGGTCAGGAAACCCTATTGGAAAGTAAGTAGCTGTCTATTTTTATGTAATTGTTTTAGGGATTGATGTGAAAAGTAACTGCATCTGGAAGTGTTCTGGAATATTGGAGAATCTTGACTTGACATGCTTAATTGAGCACATATATTTATTTATTATTATTATTATTTTTTTTCAATTTACAACTTCATTTTGTTCTTATGCTGAAGTACATTTATCTTATGGTTCCTACAGGTATCGTGGGAAAAGGATGCGGATTGACTATTTCATTGTCTCAGAGAAACTTAAAGACAGGATAGTTGCATGTGAAATACGTGGACAAGGGATTGAACTAGAAGGTAATAGATACTTTATTTTTAATCTTTCTTGAATTTATAGTCTAGTAAATATAAGACATGCCCAAAATCTACTCACTCCCTGGTAGAGCAAGTGTCAAGATTTTCCAAGTTGATTGTTCATTGCATGGCCATGGTCGTAAATCTCAACCCAATCTCTAAGATAAATCATATTCAGAAATTCATGTTTCTTGGATTATACTTGTTGATTCCTGTGGGGATTTTTGGCAGTCGAAGTTCAGTTTTTTAAGATACCCCCTTTGGGAATTCAACGTATTTTTTTGGAATGATAAGGCGAGTTTAGTTTTTCTTGTAAAATCCGAGTGTAGAATTCTGATTATGTGTTTTCATACCAGTCCAAGCCCTGGGTAAAGGGGTGAATTAAGGTAGGTTGACGTATGACTTATTTGTCAACTCTCATGACATAAATCCTAATACATAATTCATTGGGGGCATTGACAATCTAGTTGTATTGGGAGCAAGGCTTATGTTTCCATAAAAGCTGAGAGTTGACAGAATTGGCCATGATTTTTAGCGTTATTCTAGGAAGCATGGATATTTATAAGCTCATTAAGCATATGTATTTGATACGTATTCAAGCTTAATACTCTTCAATACGCTCCAATACATGTCAATTATGTTTTTTTTTAATCTGTTTTATTTGTTTTATTAATTAAATTTTTGATATTTCATCGGATATGAATTTTTTAATTATTTTTGAATACATATCGGATATATTAGGATACGTGAAGAAGAGAGTGACTGGTTTTAAACTTTTTTAAAGTCATTGTTAATGATTATGGAGTGACAAAAATTTACTTAATAGATTACTATTGTAATTGTCAATAACTTATTGAAAATAGATAATATTTATGGGAAATAGACTAGTAGAGTTTTAATTTAACTGACAGCTAGCAATTTTTATTGAAAATATACAATAGTTTTTAATACATGTAAAATCTTGTCAATAGTTGACAAATATATTTTTGTTATTGAAAATCGATAATAGTACTAAAGCTCTATTGACAATGAGAATGTACAATGCAGGATATTGTAGGAAACTCATTTGATACTCTTCAAAGTGTTGGACTATTTGAAGTTGTTAACCTGTCACGTGTTCAAGTCGATGCATCATAACTTATAATGATAATGAAAAAGTTGGTGTTGGTGATGATGAAGAAAATGAAGTTAGAACAATTAAGGATTAAGATAAAATGTTTCAGTATTTTATTTTATATTTATTTTCATGCTTCTATTTTATTTTTTTTATATTAATTAAATTATGCTAAATTTTATATATTTTTATATATATATATATATATATATATATACACGTATCTACGTATCCTAATTTTTTTAAAAAGTTGTATTGACGCACTCGTATTGTAACATATATGTTATCATGCTTTGGGTGAGCTACATAGTGGTAATGGCGTTGCTATCCGTTAGCAACACGAATACAAATAGAATGTAAACCATGCCATTTATATGGCACGTTATGCTATAATGTGCATATAGTTCCATGTTCTCTATTTATGTTTCGTAGATTTCGCTGGTATATATCTAATTTATATCGTAACCATTTACAGGTTTCTATGGGAGTGACCATTGTCCAGTAACACTTGAGCTTTCTGGCGCGAGTCCTAATTCCAACGAGAACTAATGTCCTTTGAATCTTAAGCATTGTAAATCTCAATTCAACTAAACTTTCTGACCTGATCTTCGTAGATGAACATGTATTGTGGATGTCTTGTCATTTTGAGGCAAATAACATTTACTGTTTGTGACCGGTGCTTATTCAAGGATAAACCAATTTGGGAATGCCAAAACTACCCCTTTATATTATGCTCTGATATCAAATTGGTCCTTGTATTTTTGTGCTGTGATAATGTTAACAACTGTAGAAGATGTTTTCCCTGAATCTTTGTTAGTTTTTGCCTTGGTGCTGCGAAAGGTGCAAAGCAACTAAATAACAGAATCATGTACTTCGTAATTTAGAGAAATTATGACAAACATATAGAGACTAATTTCAAACAGCGACTTAATTTCAATCTTTGCCGAGTTATCCGCAACTTTTTTTTCTTTCTACGATTAGATCTTAGGTGTAGAAATCCTACTTAATATGATTTGTTTAGTAAGATAGACATACAACTCTATGAGTTAGAGAAACTAAGGAATATGAAAAAGGCGTTTTGAAAACTGATCTCGTTTCATTTGTTTCTTCCTTTTAGAGAAAGGAATACACAAATATATTTTATTTAAAGGATAGATAATATTCAAAATAACTACTCGTATAATCTATCCTTTAACAATTTACTGACTTGAGTATCGAAGGGTCTATATCAAAAATCCTTCAGGCTAGCCTTTGAACGCTTCTCTTTGGGTGCGGAATTATTCTTGGGCTTTCCACAATATTCTGGTCAGAAACAGCATTAACAAGTCAAGGTTTACTTGGAAAGATCAAAAAGAACATTTGAAACACCCAGCAAAAAATAATTGTAACCCATAAAATGATGCAATGCTAAGAACAAATTTTTTTATATAGACTTTCTATAATGATAATATGCCTTATTCTGAACAGAAATTGTGCAGTATTGGCTATCGAGATTTCACTTTGTACTGTCCTTCAATGACATTAAGCACTCGCAATTAACAACTGAAAGTTGCATCAGGAATATATACAAGGCAGGCTGTGTATACAGAAATAGAAGCGCAACATATCGTCTTCTGACAGAGTTTCCTTGACAACTAATTCTTAGAACCCACGAGTCTCCCGACTTCACTTTGCTTAAGCTGGCAAAGTGGTCACAATTCTGTCCTCACATTCCTTCAGCATGGAGAAAGAGAATTACAAATATAAAGTCACCCCCGCAGATCATATTACACATTAAGAGCAAGCTATCTCAAATCCTTTTGAACCACACTATGTAAAAACTTAAATAGTAGAAAAGAGGCACGACTATTCACTTAAATTAATTGTTCAACCCTCTCACTTGCAGGGCAGTTTTCGTTTTTTTTTTTCATTTTTTTTTTTTTAAATCGAAGCCCTAACACGTGGGGAATTTTCATTTGTGGACCCAATATTTTTCCTAGATCATCTAAACACTTAAGTTGTTAGAGCACTTCCAAGCGGTTCTCTATTTTTAAAGAGTAATTTCTACGATTTAGACAGCATCTATAAATTTAGAGAGTAAAAACTTTAAGTGCTCCAACAGAATTATTATTATTATTATTTTTTTAAATTTTTTTTAATTTAACACCTAGTTTTACTAGTCCCAAATGCTAATTTAGCAGAGATGCACATGCACGACAACATTCTGGCAAGACCATTTTGGAGCAAGGCTCCGAGCAAATTCACACTCTTCTTCTCTTTCCGTATCCGTATCTGAGTCCAAGTTCTGCATTTCAAATCCATAATCTGTAAGTATTATGCCCTAGGTCCAATCGACTTTGGACATAAATACTTTTATATATAATTAATGTAATTAAATGGCAGATCTATTATTTAATTAATAGACAATTAAATAAATAATAGAGTCCGTAGATTCAAATATTTGTAATTTATTAATCACAAGGAGTTGTGATTGTGAGATACAAATTACATCTGATTGAATCTTAAATCATCCGTGGTCGTAAGTAATAACGAGATACGGATATCGTTATTACGGATAGACCATCACGTGTGGCATTTCTTACTTGTGAAGTAAGTAGCTGATCTCACAAGTTAAAGTGTGGTGACACTTAAATGAACACGTGGATGTTTGTTATAGAACAAAACATTGGAGACCCGTCGAGAGATTCCACATGGATAACTATCTGAGTGTCGGTGGTTAATCTCTAACGTTCGGTAGTGAAATTGGTCCTTTGACTTGAGGTCGTCATGGTACCTTATATGAGGACAGTCATACTTTGGCGGTGTTGGATGTTGCTCTGAAAAGGGCCGCTAATACGACATTGTTCGGGTACGTCAAGAATCGTATGAAGGTTGTGATTGATCAATAAAGGATTCGTCACTCTTAGATAGTAGGAGATTATGATCT